GGGTGCACAGCTCTGGGCCTCACTGTGCCATCCAATCCAATATGTTTGCTGCTGCCAGAACCTTGTAAAGTCTGCTCTGGATGTTTTGTTTGCAGAGGGAATGAAAGCCAACAAAGTCCAGGGCTCTGATTCCCAACTCACTAAAATCGTAACTATTTACCATACAGATCCAAGTACCCGCCAGTCATTTCCAGGGCAGCAAAGTCTCACAGAGGCCAGGCACTCATGTCCCTCCACACATTTCCAGTTGGCCCTCAGGAGCCACCAACCCCTCCCAGGGCCCCAGTAACAGGTGGATGATTCAGTTCAGAGCAAGGCATTCCTGCCAGACACTCACTAACTAGACAGCTGAGCACAGTGCCTCACATCCCCTCCCCAAGGGACCTGGAGTGATTCCACAGAAATCACTTCCATCTGAGCAGATGCCCACTCTGCTTAAGGAGAGGTGGTCTGAGCAACACTGATACTGTGCATCAGCCAAGTGCTCTGTGGCCCAGAATTCCACTCCACTGGTGTGGCCTTCAGCCCTACTGCCTGCCATACCCTTTGGGCAAACTCACAGAAATGGTGAACATTGGGGCAGCCTGGAATAAGCCAAACGAATGCAGCTGGGCATAAGGAGCAAAGGCCAGCAGGTGCTCTCATTCCTATGGATGCTCAAGACCACAGGCAAAAGGACAGATCTACTCAGGCTTCAGGGTAGGGGTCAAAGAACTATAGGCCAAATCTGAACCGGGGCCAGCAGCAAACAGTGATCTTTGTGTCTAAATGGTTAGGGGGCCAGGTTAGTAGTACACATCTGCAATCCCAGCACTCAGGAGGATGAAGCAAGAGGATCACTTGAGCCCAGCCTGGGCAACATAGTGAGATCCACCCCTCATCTCAGAAAAACAAAATAGCTAGGGGGCAAGCACACAAAAGTACCCTCTTCTGTGACAGGTGACAGTTTCAGTGTCTCTCAGCAACGTGTTGTAAGTAGCAGCCACACCATTCACCTATCCTCCCTGGCTGTCTCTGCACTCTATCTATAGGGTTCAAAAGCTGTGTCCACCCACAAAGCTGAACACCCACAAACCCCACCAGCAGGGTAACCCTGTTGCCTCATGGGGAGTCTTACTTGGGGCCACCTTCTCAGTTGTGTTCCAACTATGGGAATCCGCTGCCCACTCCCAAAACCAGGGAACACAAATGAACAAACACAACCTTGGACGGTTCAGGAAGAGGCAACAGAAGAGGCTCAGGTAAAGAAGGCCAGAATTTTTTTTAACTCAGCAATTTTTTTTTTTTTTACCACTCTGATGCTTATTAGGACATTCCTGTGTTGTCACAGGAACTCAATACTTCCCATAGTGAGGGAACAAGGCGCAGGCCCATGGCAGTCTTCCTAGTAAGGGAGAAAGGATGCCCCGCCAGCTCGATTAGTCTCCACACCCACCACTTTGGCAAACAGCCACAACATCGTACTCTAAGAAAAACGCTTTCAACACAGACCAAAGGACAGGACTCTGGAGGCTTGACTGGAAGGTTCTAGACACTTCGCCATGAGCAACAACTTGAGTGGAGTTTATTAAGCTTCAGGCAGACAAAGGGGCCTTTCTCCCTGCAGCCAGCTGGCAGTGAGGTTAATCAGGGAGGTTGGACCCTAGGATTCAGGCGGGGATACCCCTTTACCTCGGAAAAGCTCAACATGTGGCAGGCCTTTCTCACTGTCTCCCCAGCCTCATGTGTGAGGGCATCAACCCAGAATAGGGCAGGTCACCACTGCACAGTGGGGGCTACAAAAAGGGTGTCGGTGGCTTCTACCTCACAGCAGCAAATAATGCCAGTTAGATCTAGGACAGTGGAGAGGCAGGTTCAGGGCCAGTGCTCCATTTCAAGGGGTGCTCCCCAAAAGAGCTCTCTCCATCTCCAGACTGGGTTGATGAGATCAGCACCAGACAGTGCCTGCAGCAGTAAGAACCTATCACAGATTGGGTTATGAGCTGTGGGGGACCCCAGTGCAGAGTCAGGTCCAGGTTCCACCAACCACTATACCTCCATGGCCTCAGTTTCCCGTCCTTTTCTTCCAATGAACAGCATAAGCCTGGGTTCCCTGTAGCACTGTGGTTTAGCTCCACCAATATCCTGGGACTCATCCTGTAGCTCTAGCCCCATACAAGCTCTGAGGACAGGAACCCAGGGGCTCAGGTGCTCACTGTGCAGTCTTTTCCCAACACCCATACCTGCAGCAACATGGCCTCTAGCTGACCTTACATATGCATCACTCAAAACTCAAACTGCATAGAACAGGTCCCTCGATCATACAGGCCAGGCCTCACTGCCAATGCTGCAGGTCTCTTCGGGTTAGGATGCTGAAGGATCTGCGGATGGTCTGAGCACACTCAACTCTGCTGCTAGGGTCTGCCACTTCTCGTAGTCTTGAACTGAAGATCCCAGTATGAATGGATACTTCCCTCCAGGGCACAGGCAGCAGATAGAGTAGGTGGGATGGTCCTAAATGGGTGGGACTTTGGGGGCTCCTTGTCTTACAAGAGTGATGACTACAAACTCCTCCTGCTTCCAAGTGCTGCTCTGGAGAAGCACAGATGGAACAGAAGGAGGAACAGCTGGAGCCAAGGGTGTCAGGCAATCCCCAAACTGGGAGCCCAGTGCTGACCTCATCCAGGTGGACCAGCAAGTAATTCCTAGTAAGGGGTTGGGGGCTGGGACTAAGTCCCTGCAGGCTAGGAGAATGAGGACCTAGGAGGAATAAGTTGAGATGCAGCCAGGAACCAATGGTTCACGCCTGTAATCCTAGCTACTCAGGAGGCAGCAATTGAGAGGATCGAGTTTCAAAGCCAGCCCAGGCTATATGCACGACCCTATCTCAAAAACACCAATCACAAAAAAGGGCTGGTGGAGTGGTTCAAGATGTAGGCCAAGTTCAAGTCCCAGTACTGGCAAGAAAAAAAAAAAAGGGAAGTGGAGATGCTACCAGTTGGGTAGGGCATTTAGGATTCAGGCAACTCTTTCCAGAGCCTCCCCCTCCAATCATCTGTGCTCCTTGTGTGTTGGGGGCGGGAGCAGGGGGAAGAAAGGGGAGAAAAGACCAGCAAACTCTGATCATAAAAGGCACAAACTGGAAACCTTCAGGCTACATCCATCCTCATAAGATCTGACTTAGGGAAAAAAGTGACTTACAAGTCAGCATTTAAGCTCAGATCTGACTCCTGGGGGAGTAGACACCCTGGGCCTCTGGGGAGCTCACCTGCTGTGTCTCTGCCAGGTCCCCCTAGACCCATTTTCACTCTATAGGTACCCAGTGCCCACAGGACCAGCCACTGATCAACCCACCAACTCCCACCTCATAGATAAGAGACCCAGTAGGGACCTGACCACCTGGCCCTAGGACATCTGGCATTCTGAGTGTTCACATGCTGAGAACCAAGACTTTAAAAAGGACTCATGGAGGATCGTGGTTGGAGACCAGTTCAGGCAAACAGTTCTCAAGACTCCATCTCCAAAATAACCAGAGCAAAATAGACTGGAGGTGTAGCTCAAGCACCTGCCCTGAGTTCAAACCAAAAGATAAAAAATAAAAGGCCTCCCCATTGGTCCCATTTTAACCCAGCCCCCAGCCATACTGACTGACTAGTGAAGCGAGCCTGTGTCACTCTGGCTTCAGCCTGATGAACGTCACAGGATTGTGTCAGGGCTCAGGTGCCAGCCGGTTACAGTGAGCCAGAGCCCAGCTGGGCCTCAGAGTGAGGCTGACGGAAGAGGAAGGAGTGTGCAGATACAGGGAGCAAGCAGCCAGCCCTTCCCAGGACCGCTGTCCAAGGTCACTCACTATCCACCATGCAGGGTGTCCCTGCCAGTCCTTTAGGCCCAACAGATAAGGTCCTTTCCTGGAAACTCAGGAGGCGAAGTTTTAGAAGTTAAGAGGACAGGGAGGAGAAGCAGGGTGTCTGGCAGCGATAGGGAGGCCCTGGCAGCGTTGCCCACAGGAGCAGCTTCTCCCCAACAGACCTGAGGCCAGCCAGCAGAATGCATAGCTGCCTGGATAAGTCTGTTTAAAAAGTAAGGTCGGCTCTCTCTGCTTCCAGCTTCCACCTGGCCCACATGGCCTTTTCTAACTCCTTTCCCTAACTTTTAATAAACGTTTAGTAAAAAAAAAAGGTAAGGTTGGGGCTGGTGAGTGGCTTAAGTGGTAGAGCACCTCCTTGGCAAGCTTGAGGCCCTGAGTTCAAACCCCAGTGCTGCCATAAAAAATAAATAATAAACTTAAAAATAAAAAAAAATTTTTAAAAGGTAAGGTCGCCTGGAGGCCAGAACAAATAGTTTGTCACGGCTCCGGGAGGGACGCCAGAGCCGAAAGCCAGGGATGCTTTAAGCCTCATATCCTGGGCAAGTGACAAAGGGCTTCGTTCCCTCCTGCTGACTGATAAGCTGGTGCAAACAATTATTTTTGGCAAATGCAGGGTTCCCCTCTGACAGTATAAACAAATCACATTTCCCCTAGCCCTGGTAACAGCCACACACTGCGCACAAAACCTGCTGGCCGCTGCACACAAACTTCTGGGGCCCAAACAAACACAAGCTGGTTCACCGGCTGCCTATGTTCTCTGGATAGGAAGAAGGGTGCACCTGCCAAGGCATGACAGTGGGCACCACAGGCACGCGCACACACACACACACACACACACACACACACACAAACACACACGAACACACACACACAGGAACACATACACACGTCTTCCCTGAACTGGGGAAAGTGATCCTGCAGGTTCCCAGGCCTGAGAACTCAGGCTCTGGCTTGTTAGCTCAGGTCTTCTAAGAAGAAGGGAGAAAGGAGAAAAAGGACAGGAGGAAGAGAAGAAAAAAACGAAATGAAAGAGAGGGAGAGAGGACGGAAAGGACAGGAGGAAGTGGGGAAGGAGACCAAAAGGAGGAAAAGTCAGAGGAAAAAGCAGGAAAACAGGTTCCCGGACACAGTTCCCACCCCAAGCCCCACTTACTTCTTCACGTTGGCCTCCCCGTTGGGGATCCGCCGCAATTTCTTCTTCTTAAGGATTTTGACCGCTCTCCTGCACAGAGTCTCCGAGTCCAGCACCTCCTTCACCTTGCCGTAGGAGCCCTCCCCAAGCAGGTCGCCCATCAGATACTTGCCGATGAGTTTGGCCCGCTTGCGGCGGGGCTGGTAGATGACCTCGGTGGAGTCGATGCGATGGATGAAGGTGTCCATGCCCACAGACATCAACTCGCCCTCCGTGAACATGCCCAGTTGCTGCGGGTCCGCCACGTCCATCATGAACCCGGCGCCGAGAAGCCCTTGCCCCCCTTGTCCCTCTTGTGGGCAGCTCTTCCTCCTGCCCCGACTTCCCCTCTCCAAACGTTCAACAAGAAAAAGAAAAAAACGAAGGCAACGAAACCCCCCACCCCCCGCCCCCCACCAAAATCCACGGAAACTCTTCTTCCGACGGAAGCGACTGTCTACCCGTCGATCGGCGCTGCGCCCGCGGGCCCGAGGGCGCGGGCCGCAGGGCAGCAGGTCCGCGGGCGCTAGCAATGCCGGCCGGGTTTTGGGATGCTAGGTCATCGTCCAGGCGCTCCAGCCCGCGGTCAGGCGCCAAGGCGGCCGTGCCGGGCCCCGTCCGCGCCGTCCATGCCCGGCGTGCGTGGCACGGACACCCTCGCGGCGCCCTCACTCCGACGGCTGCGTGGCAGCGCTCGCTTACGCGAGCCCTGGGCGGCCGGCCCGCGGGCTCTGGGCGGCCAGGACGGCGAAGGCCGCAGGCTCGGGGCCGGGGGCTTCCCGGGGCTGACGGGGCCCGGGCGGCGCGTCCCCCTCGCCGCGGCCGCCGCGCGAAAGCAGGAGGCGGGGCGGCGAGGGGAGCCCAGCCCATGCAAAGCCACCCGCGGGGCCGCCGGCACCGCCCTCCCGACCCGCGCCTCACTCACGGGCGCCCCGGGCAGACTCCCCCTTCCGCGCCCGACACGCCGCCGCCATCTTGTTTACCGCCCTGCGCCGCTCCGCTGCCGCACGCCCAGCCGCGGGACACGCCCCCTCGCGGCGCCAACGTGCACGCCCGTTGGCTGCAGCGGCCGTCCTGGCCCTCTAAGGCCTGCCCCCCCCGCCGCCGCTGCTTATTGGACCGTTTGGATCTGGGCGGGCGCCCGAGCGGTGATTGGTTAGCATTCGGTTCCGCCCAGGGGGTGGAGGTGCCCGTCACCCGGAAGTGGGGCGGGAAGCGACGGAGGGGAGGGCGAGGTACATGCTATGACCTCGGAGGGGTTTGGGCAGGGGTCGGAGGTCACGAGCGCGGATGGCCTCCGAGGAACAGCTAGTGGATGGTCAACCGGCTTTGCGCCAAGACTCGGAGGGTGGGGTGGGGGACGCCTGCCAGTCCCTTCCTGCAAATCTTTTGGGACGGGGTCAAAGTCGAAAAGTAACCCAAAGTGGCTAGTTTAGTGCCAAAAGCCTTTATTAAGGTCCTCTGGGGGCCAGGGGAGGCGAGACGCACGCGGCACTGGTTCCACCTGGGAGGAATTCGTAGCTAAAACTCGGAGCGCAGCTGGCACTATCCCAGCAAAGCGCTTTTGGTGGAAAACAACAAGAGCTGCCAAAATATGTCTTGATAAGGTGGAAATCGCCCCTTGCAATGCCAGGCCGTGTTCCTTCCACTCTTCTCTACTGTGCTCTGGATGTCACTGCTGTTTACTCTGCCTTCGTCTTTTCACCTGTAAAATGGGTTAGGGAACCTGCTTTTTGTGTGTGTAGACCTTTTTTTTTTTTTTTTTTTTTTTTGAGGCTGGACCTCTCCATGTAACCCATCCTCCTGCCACAGCCCTCTGAGTGTTGGGATGACAGACTGTCGTCACGCTGTTTGCTTATTTTTGCTTTTTGGTGCTGGGGACTGAGCCCAGGTACTCCTGCACGGTAAGCATTTACTCTATCACTATAACCCCCAACCCCAGACCTTTTTCCTTTTTTTTTTCTGTGCAGTATTGGGATTTGAACTCACGGCTTCATGTTTGCAGAGCAGGTTGAGCCACACCGCCGGTCCGTTTTGCTCTGGTTATTTTGGACATTAGGTCTCTTGAACTATTTGCTCAGGCTGGCCTCAAGCCCCAATCTCAGCCTCCCAAGTAGCTGGGATTATAGGAGTGACCCACCAATGCCCAGCTCCTTTTGGATATTTTTGAGAGAAGCTACCTGCAGATTCTTTTATTTTTTCAGTACTGGAGATTGAACTCAGAGACTTGTGCTCTACGACAAATTCCACCACTTGAGCCACACCTCCAGTTCTTTTGGTTTCTTACTGTTTTTGAAATAGGGGTTCACTTACTTTGCCTGAGCTGGTCTTTTTATTTATTTATTTATTTATTTATTTTGTGGTACTGAACTGAACTCGGACTGACACCTGCTAGGTATGCACTATACTACTTGAGCCACTCTGTCAGCCCATGGGTGGTCTTGAACTCATGCTTCTCTTTCCTCTCCACCAGCCCTTTTTTTGTGATGGATTTGTTTTGCTTTGTTTTGTTTTGGGGGGGGGTTAAAGTCAGGACCTTATGCTTACTAGGCAGGCACTTTACCACTTGAGCCACTCCACCAGTCATGGTGATGGGTTTTTCCAGATACAGTCTCAAGAACTATTTGCCGGGGCTTTGCACTGCAATCCTCCTGATCTCTGCCTCCTCAGTAGTAAGGATTACAGGATTACAGGCATGAGCCACCAGCGCCCAGCAGATAATTTGAGGTTTATATATATATTTTTTTTGGCAGTACTGTAATTTGTGGAGTTCTAACAGTGTATCTGGCACTATCCTCAACCCCCCCCTTTTTTTTTTTTGGCACTGGGGTTTGAACTTAGGGCCTCACGCTTGCTAGGAAGGCACTCTTACTGCTTGAGCCAGTCCACCAGCCCCAAACCCCATTTTATACATAGGGAAACTTAGTCTCCACAGATCTGTGTGAGAAATCCAAAGTGGTGCTCAAGTACTGGGCAAGTAGGGTATTTGAACCTGAGTCTGTCCAGTCTGGGCTCCCTATCAACTCCTTCCTTCCAGGGAGGAGGATATGGGTCTGACAGCCCCTGGGAAAAGCAGAGAACTTACCTGAAAACCAAAGTAAAAGCAGAGCTGAGGGCTGGGGGTGTAGCTCAGTGGTTAAGTGTTTGCCTAGTAAGCATGAGGCCCTGAGTTCGATCCCCAATACCTTAAAAAGCAGAGTTGAGGGTGTGGCTCTTGTGGGTCAGTGGTAGAGCACTTGACCGCTTGGCATATGTGAGCCCCTGGGCTCCTAGCTATGCAGGAGGCAGAGATCAGGAGTATTTCAGTTTGAAGCTAGCTCGGGCAAATAGTTCTCAAGATCCTATCTGAAAAATACCCAACACAAAAAAGAGCTGGTGGAGTGGCTGAAGCAGTAAGAGCACCTGCCTAGCAAACATGAGACCTTGATTTCAAACCCCAGTACCACAGAGAGAGAGAGAGAGAGAATCTCTGGTCAGGCACCTGTAATCCTAGCTACTTGGAAGACTGAGATAGGAGGATTGCAGTTTCAGGCCAGTTTGGGCAAGTGGTTCTTGAGACCCTTATCTCCAAAACAAAATGGAGGTATGGCTCAAGCGATAGAACATCTGCTTTGCAAGGGTAAAGTCCTGAGTTCATTCAAGCCCCGAACTCAAATCCCAGTCCTGCCCAGCATGGATAATTCATGCCTGTAACCCTACCTCCTCAGGAGGCAGAGATCAGGAGGATGTTGGTTTGAAGCCAGCCCTGGCAAATAGTTTGTATGACCCTATCTTGAAAAACACATCAAAAAAAGGACTGGTGGAGTGGCTCATGGTGTAGACCCTGAGTTCAAATCCTAGTACCACAAAAAAATAGAGAAAAAAATGGAAGGAAGGAAGGAAAAAAATGAAAAGAAATTAATCATTAGTTCTAAACAATGCAGTGTCTTTCAGGTATCTTATAAGTATTTTCTTGGTTCACTGTGCCCATATTTCCTGGGCTCTGCAGCTGTGTTTGACTCCTTATCATCTGGATCCGACTCCCCTTCACAGAGTCCCCACCTCAGTCCCAATGTGCAGAACACAGGAAGGGACTCTGGATATGTTTGATGACCATTACAGAAGGAGTCCGTGAAGGTGGAGCCTCAGCTCAAATGCCATCTCTTTTGAGAAGCCCTTCTCAAAAGAGAAGTTTCATGGACAATGGATATCAAATGTTTAGGATGGAAACAGGTAAATAAAAAACCTAGGGATTAGGGATATGGCTCAGTGGTGGAGCACTTACCTAACATATGTGAGGCCCTAGGTTCCATCCCCAACTCCAGAAACAAAACTAAAATACCTGGGCTATACGTGGCTGGGGGAGACAGGTTATAGGTAGGAAACCCCAGGAAATTGCGGGAGCCCAAGGTAACAAGTAAAGGCTCACATCACAATTAAGGGCCTCCAGGTTATAGTTATGTCTCTGGTTACAGGTAGGATTTCCCAGGTTATAGGTAGGAGCCCTGGGTTATAGTGGGGTTCCAGATAATAGATGGAGTCCAAAGGTACAAGTGGGGGCCCCAGGTTATAGTTGATGCCTTTGGTTATACTTGGAGGCCTAGGTTACAGGTACAGGAACTCCAAATTTCAAGCCTTTTTGCCCCATCTCTTCCTCCATTCTCCATCCTTCTCACCTTTATAATAGCCCTCCCACCACTAGACCCTCATACCCAGCCTGTAGGGCAAAGACTCTGTACCATCTCTGTCCTGGACACATATACTCCTGACCACCACCCCCAGTTCCCCCCAGCTCTGATGCTCAGACCCCTCTCACACCCTCCCTGCTGAGATTCCAGTGCCCTGGATGGCCTCCCACTGTCAGACTCTTAGAAGTTGTGGTTCAGGATCCCAGACTACACTCTTTTCACATGATGGCAGGTGCCCCATTTGCCCCGAAACCGAGGGCCATAAGCCAAATCTCTAAGCCAGACAACCCCACTCAGTTTAAGATGCCATAGAAAGGTGGCAGGCTGTTCTGTGTGGACCTCTGAGGCCACTAGGGGGCGGACACGGACTGCAGTTGATACACTGCAGGTATGAGAGAAAAACGAGCACCACAGGGTATGCAAAGCACACATCCTACCACTGAGCTACAGCCACAGCCCTTGCATTTTTATTTTTTGGCAGCACTGGAATTTGAACTCAGGGTCTCCAACTTGCTAGGCAGCTCCTCTACCACTTCAGCCATGCCTGCAGTTCTTTTGTTTTTAGTTTGTTTTTCAGATAAGGTCTAGTGCCTTTTGCCTGGGCTGGCTTCAGAGAGCAGAGTAGCTGGGACCACAAGTGTGCACCACCATAACTAGCCAGCATTTAAAAAAATTATTTACTTTTTTTTGTGTGTGTGTGAGACTGGGGTTTGAACTCAGTGCTTC